AGCAACCATTCTAAGGCCAATATGATGGCTGATAATTCAACTGTAAAAACAGCTAAATGGTCAGCTGTTCTCCTCTTAATCAAGACTTTATGGTGTGGGATATTCACTGCTGCCCCAGTTCTACCACTATTTGAATCTTTAGATCCATCTGTATATATAATTATGTTGTCTTTATATCTTTCAAAATATCTATTAACTACAACCCATTCTGGAGTCTTTCCCTTTTTAAGAATTTCACTTAATTGAAGATCAACTTCTGGAGTTAGAAATAACCATGGAGATTGAGGAACTGTAGCACTATACTGGAGCTTAGTTAAACCAAGATGTTTTGCCTTTATGTCCCCAGTCCATCCAAAACTATTACAATTTAATTTATGATGTTCCCAACATTCCTTCAGCACCACCTTAGTTGGATGATCACACTTATGTCCTTGTAGGTTCACCCAGTACATGTACATTAGTTTCAACCTTCTTAATCTTAAAGGAAGCTCACCAGTTTCTACTTGTAAAGCAGCTAAAGACGATGTTCTGAAAGCTCCACAACAAATCCTCAATGCTTGTGTTTGCTCTCCATCAAGTTTTCTCAAATGACTGTCAGCAGCTGCCATATATGCTGTACACCCATAGTCCAGAGTAGATCTCATGAGAGTCTGATAGACTCCCAACAGTGCACTTCTTGAAGCTCCCCATTCCTGTCCTGAGAGACATCTCAACAAATTATTCACTTTTTTACATTTATTTTGAACTGATTCTATTTGATGTTTCCAAGTTAAGCTTTCATCAAAGATGACACCTAAAACCTTCACTGTTTTCACTTGTTCAAGTTTATGTTTATGAAGATTCAACTTGACTTCCTTATGTCTTCTATAAAAGCAAATAACTTGAGTCTTTGCGATTGACATCCTAAAACCCCATTTATTAGCCCAACCTTCCTCTTTCAAAATGGCATCCTGCATCTTTTTCTGTAAGTAAACCAGATTATGTCCCCGAATTCATAAAGCACCGTCATCTGCAAATAAAGATTTGCCTATACTACTATCTATCTCATCAAAAATGTCATTAATCATAATATTAAAGAGAATTGGGCTACACACACTACCTTGGGGGGTACCATTCTCAACAGCATATCTAGAAGAGAAATTCGCCCCAACCCGAACTTCTATTTCTCTACCAAACAAAAAATCAAAAATCCAATTATAAATCTTACCTCCTATACCAGTTTTCCCTAATTTAATCAATAATCCTTCTTTCCATAACATATCATAAGCCTTTTCTACGTCAAAGAACACAGCTATCACTAACTCTTTATTTGCTTGAGCTTTTCTTACTTCTGACTCTAAACACAGAACTGCATCCATCGTATTCCTCCCTTTACGAAAACCACTCTGAAAAGGACAGAATTTATTTTTACTCTCAATAAAACAATAAAGCCTATCTGTAACAATCCTCTCCATTATTTTCCCTAATTAAGAAGTGAGAGCTATAGGTCTATAATTTGACGGGTCTGTTGCATTTTTACCAGGTTTTAACACAGGAATTATAACTGACTGTTTCCATTCTGCAGGAATTCTCCCAGTCATCCAAATCAGATTAAATTATTTTAATATAACAGTAAGAGATGAATATTTAAAATGTTTGAGCATTACATAACACACTCCATCCTTCCCCGGAGTTGATTGCTTAGCATTATTAATAGCTTTTTCTAACTCATACATAGAAAAAGGCATATCTAAATCCTGGTTTGAGACTTCTCTCCTAGTAGTAACTTCTGGATTTCCATCCAATAAATCTAATTTATTACTTTTCATTTCTTCAGATAAATTTTCTGAACTATTCACCTTAATTAACGTTACTGCTAATAATTCAGCTTTTTCTTTATTACTAATCGCTATTTTCCCATTTAATTCTAAAACAGGTAAAGAAAACCTCTTTTTAACACCATTCATTTCCTTAATAACTCTCCATACCTCTGACAGTTTGGTCTCTCTACCAATGGAATTACAATACTGCCTCCAACAAGCCTTCTTAGCTGCTCTAATAGTCTTCCTAACTATAGCTTGTGCTTTCTTATATTGAATTAGTGCCTCAAAGGTATGACATCTTCTTACCAATTTAAAAGCTTTATTTCTTCCCCTTATAGCAATACTACATTGCTCATTCCACCATGGAGTAGACTTTTTATTTCCTCTTCCCTTTGATTTAGGAATTGAACTTTCAGCTGCATTAATAATGACAGACTTAATCTTTGAATAACACATCTCCACATCACAAAACAAATTCTCATCCAGTTTATTAAATTGACTATCAACTAAATTTTTAAATAACTCCCAATTAGCGTTACTTAACTTCCATCTTGGAATCTGTCCTTCCTCTTCTTTTATCACTTCAGAACCAACTGAAACTAGAATAGGAAAATGATCACTGCCCATTGGAGAATCATTCATCACCTCCCAAGAAGTAATTCCAGCTAATGTATTTGAAACCAATGTTAGATCTAAAACACTCTTTAAATTCCTACAGCAATCATATCTAGTAGTGCTGCCATCATTAAGGCAAACCAGAGAATGTAACTCAAGAAATTCAATAGTCAATCCATTTGCATCTGTATTAAGACTCCCCCATAAAATATTATGAGAATTGAAATCACCACACCATACAGTCTTACCTACATTTTGATCATTTACTTCATTGAGATTTTGAATGGACAACTTCTTGTTAGCATTATAAAAATTTATCACCGACATTTGGTCATTTTCTATCCAAATCTTAATAACTATTGATTCATAATTTTTCCCTATTGATTCCACTTTATATCTTATACTGTCTAGTACAAAAGTTGCTACTCTCCCTCCTTGTCTTTCCTTTCTATCATTCCTAACTGATGTATACCCAGAAATTTTGAAATCCAGATGAGGCTTAAGCCAGGTTTCTTGAATGCAAATCAGGTGAGGTTTAACTGTCAAATCTGAAATATATTTCTTAAACTCTAGACCATTACTAATAAGACTTCTTGCATTCCACTGGAAAATAATTAACATAACAAAGAGGGGCCGCCACTGCATGATTGAGGTTGAGAAGATTGTGTCTCATTTAATTTTTCCTTAATTGATTCCCAATTAACATTTTTACAATCAAGATACTTTTGGGCTGCCTTCACTATTATTTGAATTTTTTCCGTTTTCCTTTGTGTTTGAGCAGTGCAGTTAACAACTTCTACCATGAACAATACAAAATCCTCCTTTGTCATGAGTAGAGTGTCACCTTTAATCTTGGAGCATTCTGAACAATTAGATCCTTCTTTTTCTCCTCCAGACACTTTCTTTGGATATAATATTGGTTGAACAGAAGCTTTTTTCGTTGCTTCTGCATAAGTAATGCCAGTAGTGACTTTGATTTTCTGAACTTCCTCAGCTCTTTTACTAGCTATGCATCCCCTAAATCCTGAACTATGCCCACCTCCACAATTACAACATTTCAGCGGAGCCCCTTCCTCACATTTCCCATACTCATGATCCCCAGCACATCTCCCACATTTCTGTTTCCTCTTACACCAGGGGTCCCCAAGCTATGGCCCGTGGGCCGGATCCGGCCTGCCTCCTCATACCAGAGAGCATTCAGTGTTTTTTTTTTCATATATTATATTTTCCGGTTTATATGTGGATTTTTCTTCAACCACCAGGGGGCTCTTGAGCAGACATGAAACTAACTTTCCCTCAATGGAATATATACTAGTCAGTCAGTCACCGTTTCACTCACGGTTTTTTCCATTTGCATTCTGGGTAAAAATCTATGTAAAAGCGCGAATGTGTCGTCGCCCCCCCAGCCCCCCCCTCACCCCCGCTTGACAGTTTCAAATGCAGAACTTTCTAAGGTTTCTTTCTGCAAAAACTAAGACCGGCCCCCGACCACAGAAAGGAACAGCTATGTGGCCCTCGCAGGAAAAAGTTTGGGGACCCCTGCCTTACACACAGCCGCGACATGCCAAATTTCTGGCATTTAAAGCACCGCAGCGGCGGAGGAATAAATGGTCGGACATCATAGCTCATATATCCCACAAACACTTTATCTGGCAGACTGTTCTCTTCAAATTTTAACATGATAGAAAAACTATCACTCCTCTCTCCATTTTTATTTCTTTTCAATCGTTTGGTTTCCACCACTTTCCCTCCTGAAACATTAGACTTGATCTCATCAACTGGCACATCAGGTGGAATCCCTGAAATGACTCCGCATACATACTTCTTGTCATCCAAAAGTCTTCCTCTCACATTCTCACCAAGGATTCTTTTTATATTCAGCGCCCTTTCATTTTGTTTAATATCATTACAGATAATCAATAACGATCCATCTCTTAATATTTTAACAAATTTCACCTTTCCAACCAGTGAATTGATTTCTTTAGTAAGCTTTATTGGATTCCACTTACCAAAGGACACACCCTCTTTGACAAACTTCAGAACTATTTTAAACTCTGACATCGTAATAGTTTCTCCTTCAGCCTCGGAAACAGATAATTCTATTTGTTGTCTTGATTTGTTCCGTTTTTGCTTAGCTTTTTGAATATGCCAAGGTCCTTCATTTTCCACACCATCAGCACCCTCTTCCATTTCAGCAAAATCACTACCTGACACATTTCCCTCTGACATCCTTCCAACCATTCACAGTCTGATCGTGCCTCTTCCGCCTTTGCTGGTCCGTCCTTGTTCTGCAAATTCCAAACTCCCGGTTCCTCATGGTCTTCAAAGTTGTTGTCAACACCGTCAGACATAAACAGAATGTGAAAAAAAATCAGGCATTATTTTGGGGCACCAGAAAGTCTGAGGACCCCGTGACCACTTCCTGTTTTTCCCTTTACTATAGTGTTTCTCAAGTCCGGTCGAACGCCCCCCCTGCCCTGCATGTTTTAGGTGTTTCGCTTCTGCCACCTGGATTGAATCTGTAGGTGATTTACAGGCTTCTGCAGTATCTGACGGTCATGCAATCATTTGGATCAGCTGTTCTGGAATAGAGGCACATCTAAAACATGCAGAGCAGGGGGATGTGAGGACTGGAATTGAGAGGCACAGCTTTACTAGGATGGCTGGGCAGCTCTGGTTAATTTATTTTATCTTTTAGTTGTTTCTTCCTGTTGTAGATTCTGTCTTTTTCTCTCTCTTAACTGCTTACACGCGGACGCTGCAGCTTACATAATTTATGGTGCCCCACAGAAAAGTGACATTGAAATACTGAAATACTTATGAGTTTAAACTCTTGTAGTTTTAATTGTGTACATTGTGAATTTTGAAAGCTTTGTTTGTAAAATATGTATTTATGGACTTATTATACATCTTCCAAATTGTATTTAGGCGTGGAGGAGAACATTGAAGCCTTCCTTCGATCAAGGCATGTTATGGAAGAAGACATAAATCAGATGAAAGCTGATAAGGTGACCCATTCAGTTATAAAGTTTATAGTAACACTAGACCTTGTTTAATTCTAAGTGTATACATTTTTGTACAAAAAGTATGTTGGTTCATTGTGTTGTAATGGAAGTAAACTTTTAACATTGTTGTCCCGAAAGGGAAATTCATTCCCACTGACCTTCAATCTCAAAGTAAAATGACTATACAGCAGAGGTGGGCAACTCCAGGCCTTATCCTGAAACTTTTAGATGCATCTCTACTTCAACACACCTGAGTCAAGTAATTAAGTCATTAGCAGGACTCTAGAGAACTTGACTGCACTTGGGAGGTGATTCAGCAATTTCAATGAAGTGTGTTGGACCAGGGAGACATCTAAGAACTGCAGGACAATGGCCCTCGAGGACCAGGATTGCCCACCCCTGCAATACAGTATGATACAAAACATAACACAATCTTATGATGCCATAAAAAGTACTGCACAGCATTTACTTAAAGTTTTACTGTATTAAGTATAAAACTAATGTAGTCTTTAAATGTTTATATCTAATTGCAGATTGACAGAGGTGTCATTTCTGTCATGAAAGATGAAGAATTTGCCAGATATGTCCCTTCATATGGTGACTGCTTGGCTGTTCTGTCATTTTGTCGACAGAGGGAAGCAAATTTCGACAAGGAAGGCATTTTAAATAGAATTACACAAACAATTGAGACAAGGCTGATGACAAGGAAAAGACATGTTGAAGTACCCCAGCAAACAACTGTGAGAAATTCTGGCTTGTTGGCAAGACCTAAAAACAACAATGCAGTAAAATCCAAACGCAGAGTTGAAGTGGGATGGCTGCATTTTCAAAGCGGGGATTTTCATCAAGTGAGGTCCAAATTTGGAGGTGGAATCAGACATCTTGCACTCGAGAAAAACACCACTGTGTCAGAAGTCATGACCATTGCAAAAGAGTTGTTTTTTTCCTTGTGGATTATCATCAAAGGGATCCATTATGGACTTTACACTTAGCATGTGCGACTTCAAAAGACAAACTGTATCTCTGGACAGTGCTCTTACAGAACAGTTCAAACTTAAAATGTTACAGCTTTATCTGTGCACCAAGGACTTTGAGCATTCCTCATATTGTTCATTACTGCGCAATAGTCAGCCCCACCCTTAACACACCCCTGACTGACCACTGACCAGTTCTCTGTCTAACAGGTCCGGAAAATCTCTAAAACCCGGGTATTACCCTAGAAATAGGTTTATAGGAGACATTCTGTTCAAACTGGTGGCGGAGAAAACTCGTCTAGCTCTAACTACCTTTGATTCCAGAAGTTATGACCCTTTTCAGTTGAGAAGCAGTCAACAGAGTAGCCCTCACTGCTGCGTAGCTTCAACAACCACTCCTGTTAACGGTAGCTTTTCTCCTTAAAATAACGTGCACTTGTTACCGGCTAGATTTGCTTTAGTGACTTAGACTTAAGTCCCAGGGTCATTATTTCTACACTCACCAAAGGAAAGTACGAAGCCACCACATCACTAGAATCATGTATGTGTATTTTACTATAATTAGGGGAAACTATAGTGATCAGATGACACCATTAATCTCAATGTCCACAAGTATCATTGGAATTTTTAATATATAAATTTATTAAGCAAGCTTTAGCAGGGGTAAAATGACAGATTAACTTACAGGGATTATAATCGTAATAAGTAATAATTCCGAAATTAAAATCAATCACAACCTTTCTAATTTCTATCCCTGCACTATGTCACTAATTTAACTAAGCGAGGCTTCTGGGGGCAGCTAAACTCACACCCAGATGACATTTGGTCCCGGCAGCAGAAATCCTCAAGTGTCCTTGGTCAGAGTCTTTGTCCTGGCACGGCAAAGTCCTCTTCCAGAATAGAAGCAAAGCAGAACTGTCTGTTGTCCTCAACACACAGGATCTTTGTCAATCAGTGACCTTTGTCTTTTCTCCAAGTCTGCTGCAATAGAGTGGGGATCGTTGGGTTGAGGCAGAGGCGTCGGTCGAATCAGGAACCAGGGTTGGGGGCAGATGGATCTTGTCCCTTAGCGGCGTGAAGTCTCAGCTTCCCCTCGGCTCCAGGGCGCGGTCCTCTGCTGGTCTTCAATCTCCATCCTCTTGTTGGCTCCTTCAGCGCCGCGGACAAAGAACAGTTTCTTCCCCTGTTTGCTGGTTTTTATACTTCCTCAGCCCATAGTTGTGTATGGGAGAGGTTTAGTAACTCTTGGAACATTCCAGTCTGTGGAAAACCCCAGCCTTTCCCAATCATCATCTCTTTCGTAACTTTTTGGTACTTCCCATTTTCCACTGGCCATCTGGTAAGTTAATTCCCTTTCTGAGCCTCCCCAAAACCCTCGCCCAGCTGTGACACAGTCCAAGTGCAGAACCTGCTTTTCTTTCTCACGAACCTAAGTCTTCAGTCATCACATTTCTTAAATTCATGGTAAAATATAATTCTGTACTTATAAAACATGAACAATTTATCACTATAACAACTCATAACTCTCAGTATGATCCTTTATTATTCAACTCAAGCTGTAAAATCAGTTTCTAATCATCAACAGGTAACTTACTTCAATACTCCTCACACAAAAATCCCTTTGTTACTGTCATTCAGATCACGGGTACAGAATACATATTTTCAACCGTACATTACAGATTGTTCCATCCATTACATTTATATATACTTTATTCATCTTCAATCATCATTAAATCAATATACAAGATTACTGTCATTTCACAGGCCATATATACTCCGTTTTCTGCATGTACCTGGTAAGATCTCACTACTTTATGCCAGTTTTCACGACAATATTCATCAGAGGATCAAGAAGACTTTGAACAGGTAATATCTGCTTAAACAAAACCGTTAAAAGGTGCCAGTCAATTCAAATGGCATTTTTAGTTTGGTATTTTTGATGCATGTTTGGATTTACTGTGAATGTTTACACAAAAACAATGATGCAATTTGTTTCCAGTGCTTTATTTAAATTATGAACTGTATTTGCAGGACTTTTTAGTAATTTGATTTTTCCACAGCTAGGAGATCTAATTTAACTGTTGTGCATGTTGACTTTTGCATTTTGCAAAATAAATCCAACACATCAGGATTTCAACAGAGAAATGTTGTCATAGGAACATTTAGTTTCCTGCTTCAATTTTAATACATCAGATAAGTGCAAAATTACAGCATTAGAAAGATGTCCATGTTGCAATACTAAATGAATTTCCTTGTGGAAAACCAAAAGAAACAGTCTAGTTATGACAGTAAACAATGCAAGTCAGAACATCCACCCCAAAAGCATGTTATTGGTTTTCAAACTAATCATTAAGAAGCAAAGAAAATTGAAAGTTTTTTTTTGTTTGTTTTTGTTTTTTATTTGGCCTGTCGGATAATTTTCAAGTTTAACAGAATGCATGGTAATGTCTGATAAACAACCAGCTTAGTTTAAGATTTAGAACCCTAACATGGCAGGCTCTTTCCAGTCAATACTCACAGTAATGCTCTAATGGCATCTCTGAGTACCATGTACAGTTTCACAGAATCGTATGGATCTGATGGCGTCAGCAGGCCAGACTGTGCCATTAAAACATTGCAAATGTCATTTACAGCTGAATCGCATGGTATGGCCTGCCGAAAGGTGCATGCATCTCTACACAGTTGAACATGTTCAACTTGAATAGGAGTGAGGAAGTCTGTGGTACTGTACAGTTCAGGTAGAGCATACATCACATTGGGCCGACCGCTGGGAACTTGCAAGTTTTTGGATGGCCTGATGTGGTGTGTGTTCCATACTTGTGCTGTGTCATCCAACTCATCCTGTAACAGATAAAACAGAAAAATTTAGTACACTTTTGTTAACCTCAGCTGGAAAAAAGTATTAGGCATAGTCATTGTCCTTAATTGTCAGTCCTTATTTGGTGTACTGTAGCAATCACAGCAATAAAGTCATAAAAGAGGAAGATTGGATGAAGATGATTGCATTTTGGAGGTCAATTTAATTGTAATTAGAGCAATTCTTTGATGGTGTAGAATCACAACCTCTCAATGACACACTACCCTGTCTGCAAAGCTTTGTGCGGGACTTGCACCAGGAGAAGAGGTGAAATGTGTATGCTACAAATTAGAAATAATTTTCTTAGAAACATTGCAAATAGAATAATCTTTCATTCATTGCTTATTTTATTTTTTTATATTCAGTTCGTGTGTTCTGTTTTTTCATAATTGCTAAATAATATTTAGGTAATTTCAGACTTGCCGTTTAGAACTGTCATTCATGCATTTACAGTTGTAGTCATAGAAATAAATTTTTTGGTGACATTTCTTGGACGAATTGATTTTTAAAATTACTTTGGGATCTTATTTGACTTTTGATGCAGTTAGAAACTTGATGCCTATTCAAATTGTAACTATTGAGTTAAAAATAGTTCACTTTTGATTTTGGTTTAAAAAATTACAGCCAATTAAATTGTATCTTTTAATAGAGGTTTAAATGCAGCTGTCAAAAATGATCCCTTGTTGCTGTTAAAATGTGAAATCTCACCGTTCTACCTGCTCTTTCGTGTTCTGACATTAAGGTAGAAAAAGTAACCGGTGCATTTTCAGCACCACGGAAGTGTGAACAGCGACCAGGAAAAAACAACAGCTAGAGAACCACTCTTTCATTATATCATAATATACCACAGATAAACACAGAGACATCTACTCCTCTTTGTAGAAAAAGATCACATTCATTTATGGGTGTGCGCTCGTCATGCATTATTTCCATTTTCAGTAGAAAGTTGATGTGATAAAAGTATGCACCTACGTCACAAAATTGAGCGTGCGCCTGACATTCAAGTTTTGTACGAACAGAATACTAGACAGTGAATGAAACAAACAACCAGTGGCATCTCGCCCACATGCTGATTTTTAAGTTTATTGCCTTTCAGATTTCCTTCCTCACGTCATATCTTATCCATCATATATTTGATTCAATTTACTCACCTGTATGAGTCCCATACAGCAAAACTGTAGAATGTTTTTGTCCAGAAATCCTCCATCAAAGAATCCATTGTCTCTGATGTCAGCAAACAGGGACAGCCAGAACTCCATACACTCCGTACGCAGAAAGCGCCACCAATATTCAATCCTTTGATTTGCACTGCTTGCTCCTTCGAGATAACTTTGAAGAGGGTCGTTAGGCTGAGTGGGAATGAGGAATCGCTGGAAGTCTCTGACATAAACATTTTCTGTACCTAGATCCCCTCTAACAACTCTCGGACACCCTCCCAAACGCTCCACTGCAGGCACGTGCAGAGGGGGGAGCTGGGGGTGCTTGAGCACCTGCCCTTTTTGCTCCTTGCCCCCAAGTGCCCTTTTGGT